TAAAAATTATATTATATGGGAAATGGGCGTGGTTGTTGTTCAAGTACGCCCATTTTCGCATATTACATAGGATTGTCATAACAACGCTATGTACCGAATTCAGTTGGATTTGGTCGAGTAGGTTCAGAGATATGTGATTTCACCTGAATGTTGGCGGTGTCATGGCACTTTTAGTAGTTTTTAACAAAACCGATATAAGGGGAGTGGGCGAGGTTATCATCCGATTTCATCCATTTTTACTTTCATGCTGATATCTTCATTAGTGCTTGATTTATATACTGTAAATTGAAAAAAATATCTGGTGGCATTTAAAATTTTGTTATATGGGAAGTAGGCGTGGTTATAGTCCCATTTGAAAGTGATCGAGTAGTTTCAGAGATCTGAGACTTCGCCCATAAAGGGCGACAGATATACTTTAAACCTATTAGTAGGCGTAGTCGCGCCCACTTTTCAAAAAAAAGTTTTTTTTTTTGAGATGAGAGATGTTCGTTCCTTCTGTAATCCTCTATAAGCAATTTATAGCACAATTTTTACTCAAGTTAATCGTGGACGGGCACATGGAGGGACAGACATCCAAAATTGAAATGAGGAATTTTCGTCATTATAAACATTTTGAAACATATATTTAATTCTAGAATTATTTCGATTAGTTTTAGGTGCGACAAGCAACCGCTAGGTGAAGAAACCTTGTACAACATTTTGCGAGAGTATAAATATATTGTATAATATCTATATAAGAGAGTATATAGCTACATCTATTTATATATATACATATATTATAAACATATGTGTTGAAAAGAAAAGCATCATGCATTTAATTAATCCCGTTTTGTATTATGTTATATGATACAATACATACATATAACACACATGCACACATACATACATACATATACTAATAATATGATATGTCAGTTTTTCGTCTTGTAAATCATTTTTGCTCCCATGGCAACTCCATAATTCGTCATCCAATGGTCAATCAGCTTAGCCACCAGCAACAACAACAATAATTGGTATGAAAAAACAACAGTCACAACAAACAAAAAGAAGTACCGACAATATGTCTTCGTAGCGCTTCAATAAATCCAAATTGTCTGTAGCAATTACTCAACGAACACTGATTAAATTATTACGCAACGACAGTCATAGTCGGGCATCTTATAATACTTAGATTTATCTACAATAAGCCCAGGCTAATGGGGTGTACTGCAAATTAACTAAATTAGAGCGAAAAGATGGAAAAAAAGGCAAATATTTAATAAAAATGATTTCAAGGACACACGAAAAGCTGGAGTGTAAAAAAGCTCACAAAAATGGTTTGAATTGGAGGGAATATTTCACCATGAAACCAGTTCATGAAAAGGTGAACTATGGCAAGAGAATAGGAAGAGGTCGTTCACACGACAGTCGGGTTTATGTAACCGGAATGGATGCGGAGTTTTATGCAGGAAGAGTGCGATCTCAAGATTTCGTAACTAACGGAAAAAATCGTTTAAATTTCAGTTTGATTGCTTTATATACCTATACTCCCTGCAATTCGATACATAAGATAACAATCTGAAGGAAAGGCTGATTTTTTAGGCATGTGCAGCAATTTGCCGTATGTCAGCAATAACGCACCAAATATTCTCTTCTCTTCTGGATTTTATAAGTAAACTAAGATACTTCCACAAAATCTTTCATAAAGTGGATACTTACCGATCCTTGGTTTTTCGAATTACCGATTCTGCTAAGCGATTATGTCGACCGAATATTGACGCAGCGCGATGCGTCGCGCGAACCAAACCATTATTTTAGTAATAAATTTGCACGATTTGCAAACGTTGTTGCGGAGTAAGTCTGTTCATTATGAAATGGCAAACCAAACCGAATATAAATCAAGTAAAAGCTGTCAAAAAGACCAACTCCGAAAAAAGCATTGCCTGATTGATAACCACACATCTAACAGTGGTCAAATGAGAGAAAAATTACATATTTACTTAATAATTATGTACCGTAAAATTTTTCCAAACCTGACTGTATGGAACTAAGCCATTACTTGGACAATGAAGGTAATTTTTATACGTCACTAGGTTCCATATTTAAACTGGGTGCGAAAAAAATATTTGATAATTTCTTTTCTTACATGGGAACAACCGTTTTTTATGTTGATGTGAAGTTTCAGCTCCATATGTCAATGAGTGTGTGTTTAGCATGGAAAAGAATTGGAGAAATAGTTTGCTTAGAATTTTGTGTTTCCAAAACAATTACGACTTCGGAATCATTGGCGAGTCTACTTTATCACGAACACACGTTTTTAAGTGACACGAAGTGTTCAGTGAAGGTCATGAAGTCAACGAAAACATGTCTCACACGAGTCGTCCATCCACCGAGGTTGGTTAATGTTTTGGGTATGAAGCGTGTCAATGCTAAACTCGTACCAAACGACCTGAATCTTTTGCAAAAAACGACGTCGAGTAGAGAGAGAGTCGACATAATTGCATAGCTGAGGACCCCACATTTATCAAACACATCAATACTAGTATCGGGGGTTTATGAATATAACATCGCATCTGTACAAAACATCGAATCGGCCGAAACCGTAAGAACCACGTCAAAGTCGATTAAAAATCAAGGTGATTTTCACTGTTTTTCACAATTTCTTCAAACGGCCATAACCCAGCTGAAATACGACACAGCCAATAATCAAAATCCGTCAAAGAGTATATCGGAACTACAAATTGGTAATTCTTAAATGAAATTAAGCTGGTGACTTTATACAAATATTTGAGGATTTGAAGCGAAAAGTTCGAATAATGTGGGTTGACGAAAGATATTATAGTTGAAGGAATCAGAACAACAACGATTAGAGTATTTAAGTTTTCGAAGCTTCTCTTAATGTTCTAAGTAATTTTCGAACACAGATGTTCGAAAAGATGCAAAGCTAGAAAAACATCTTCTTTGCGTTAGAAGAGCTTCGAATGTAAATTACCGGGTCCATATTCAACTCTGCAAGAGTTCAGCTTGTTTTGAAACTTTGTTGAAAAATGCGATAGAGAATGTATGAATTATAGAAGTCGACATCAATCGGATCTAAGGTAAATTCGCTGGATAAAAACTGTCTTCGAAACTGTGGAAGGAAAGTACGAGAAACCAACACATTCGCGGTTGAAGTAGACTTTTTCTAATTTTTTCTAATCTGATTTTAATTCCGACAGCGGCCGGTTCTACATTACCAGAATTGACCCGGATTTTATCCGGCCAAGGGCTGTTATTTAAGCGATTTAACCCTGTTTGGATCGGTAAGTTTTAGTCTAAGTTTTTATCAGATTCTAACTAAACAAGTTACCTTTGATAGTCTTGTCTGACACGTAGTAGGTTCGCTTAAAGCTTAAGAGTCTAGAAAAACAATTTACACACGGTTAGAACCGAAAGCCTACGCATACCTCCATACTCACTACGGTACTAAATCACTTGAATGGGTGGAAATCCACTTTGGAGTTCCAAATTCTCCATGTTCTACACTTAAACCTCAAGAAGCACTTATTTAAAACAGAGACCGCAAATTTATTGGAGACACTGCTTTTCAACACCACATAACCATATCAACGGAAATATACATACATACACATTAGTAGTTAAGCAAGCTATAATAATTTACAACATAAGCGCATCACGTGCGCGCTTCAATACTTCAAAGGAAGGCCAACTGTGGCGTCTGCTTGCGGGAGACAACGAGTCTGGAAAACCGCGAGCCGCAGACCATACAAATTTCACTTTCATTTCTCACTTTGCTTACGCACCTTTTATATAGCGAATATAAAAAGCACAACATAGGAAGAACAACAAAGCAAATTTCAACTAAATGTTGTTGTATTTTTGTTGTTGGTGCATAAGTTGCAGCGGATCCACGAGGTGGCATGTTGCAGGAAGCAGCTTCCGCTGGCTGTAGAGGTAAAATAACAAACAATATGCAACTCAAGTGCACAACTGCGCATACATACATACATACAAACATTACGTGTTTTATATATGTTTATTTCCAGATCGACATACACACACACAAACATGTACACACACATATACATTTGTCAATAAATAAATTTTCGAGATCTGAAATGCCGTAAAAACTTCTAATTTTGAGGTTATGTATGCCTATGCGAATGACACTTGAATTAGTGTTTGTTTTTATTGTTGTTCGCGCAATTAATAATGACTTATCTTTTAACTGTTGCAATAAAATTAAATTCTTTATGGCCAAGTGGCAGAAAATTACAAGCAAACATAAAAACACACACATATACATGAACATACATAATATATACATATATATGAATGTATATACATATATGTTCTGTAAACATAAAGTAATATGATTGGCACTTGTTGCAGCAATGTAATTAGAAAATTCAAAATTAGTTAGACAATTGATTATCCCATATCATTAACAAATGATTTTAGCACTTGACAAACGTATAAATACATACATAAACAGCTACGTACTTACACATCTACACACATAAAAAAACGGAAATACTTCCTTAGTCATTGCTTATTGACTCATACTGTTGAGAATATGTGTGTATGTTTTTGTTAGTATGTGTTTAACGAACGTTGTAATGAATTAAAATCACTTCTGAAGGTTTTTAACAACACTAACAAGTTATTTGTCTGAACAAGCTGATTACTTAATGCCTGAAAGAATAGCTGTTCTGCTAAACCAACTTATCTTCACATAATTTCGGCATCCGTTCAAAATTAACCAATAAACTAGTGGCTGTGAATCTGAATTCACTTGAATCCAGGATATCAACTAGGCGACATGACTTCCCGCGGTCGATGTCGACATATATGAAACGATTCATGCTCGTGCCGCTGTTTTTGGCAGCGGCAGAAAACATTCCGAGTTGACAATCCTTAGACGGCTATAAATACAAATATATTGCGCTAACTAAGATCCATAGTAAAAAAGTAGCATCAAACTATACCCTCATAATCATCACGATTGATAACTCACACAATTTTTAGATACAATATTCATTTTTTGTTCTTAATTTCTTAGAAAACACAATACTTATTCTATAAATGTACACACGAACATGCTCAGTCAATTTATATTACTAATTAACATATGATTTAAAATATTTAATGTATTTTCACCAGTCATCACGTGGCAAGCGATATGTAGAATTGTCGCTACGTACAATTGTCACACCGGCACCATAGTAAGGTATAACATAAGCTGAACCATCTGCCGGGCCCACTACTTGTGTAGCAATGAGCACAATGTCGATTAGTTGGCCGAGAAACATGCCACCAAGCGTGCAAAACTTTATCAGCCCAATACCAGGATAACCTAAATAGAAGCGATCGACACCAAACATTCCCAGGAAGACGGAAAGCAGTAGCGTGGTATCGAGGTGATAGCCATTGCTGAAAAAATTGCAATTTTAAACTAAAGAGTCTGACGGAACAGCGCATAACTTACGTCCATTTACAGGGCAATTCGCGCGTAAACGTGTTGTTGCCTGTTTCCGTGCAATTAATACCATCTACGGCTAAACACCAAACTTGAAGTGGAAAATCGAAGAAATAAAAACAATAAAATATAAGTTTGTATTTACAGTTACTTTGACTTACCTCGCGCTTTATTTTCCTTCGTACAACCATAAAATTGTTGCGTTTTGGGATCAATTTGTTTTTTTGTGGGATCTGGACAAAGATATTGTCCCATTAACAAATCATCGCAATCGTAATCAACTTGCTGTGTTATTTGTACACTTATTAAAACTAGTATTATTGTACTGAACCACTCCATATTTTATATATTTTTATATTTTTATAATAATTTTTCGCTTTTCAGGCAGAAGTTATTTCCAAGGATTCGTTTAGCTATTTTATAAAGGCAATGAAAACAGCTGACGAGACTATTTGTTTACAGTGGCTTTCAAATATGACTCTCAAGCTGTGTTTCATATGTCGGTCTTTTCCACAATACTTAATAAACATACCAAAGAGCTAAGGTCCCTGTCAAATTTTCAAAAAATAAATATATACGCAGTGTAATAAATAATTTTTAAAACAGAAATTCTCAGGCTTTCTTAGAAAAGAATAATCCTAAATAATGAAGCATTAATGAGTTTCTTTAGTTAGTTTTAGTTTCGACGGTTGTATGACCTTACAGATTTAAGTTGCGTATACTTATGAAGTCCAACGATTTCTGTTTTTGATTTTCTATAACTAATCACCTATTAATCAATTATGCATGTATGCTATAATGTAAAGTACAAATAGTTTTCTTTGCTTATATTACTTTATCAAGGTTGACAATTATTCTAGTACTGCAATCTTGCAATTTTTATCAAATATAAGTATTTTTAAATAAAACTCACCAAATACGATTTTTCTTTATTGCACCAGAGATAGTTGCTTGTTGAAAATATATTTTTTATACTTCAACATGACTTTTACACTACTAAGATGACCGCCTTTTAGTTCGTTCAGCGTGTCTGTTTTAAGACCATTAATAAAATGCACTTTCACTTTCGACTTTTGCCCAAAAGTACTTTCGATAACACCTTTTTCACCTGTTGACAGTTCTACTTGCTTGCCCATATAGATTTCGCGATTACCTTGTTTAGAGAACAAATTTTCAACAATTGCTTCATTCTCATTTACAAGTCGTTGTATAAAGCCCTGCTTTAATTTACTTTTAAATACTTTAAAATTCGGAAGCACATCCAAAGTGTAGTTATTGGCATGTGTATACCATTGCATGCGTCCCCAAAACGCAATACGACAGCAATTACTTTGTGCATCTAAGTCCAACTTTGCCGCAATTAATGTAGCATTTGTGTCCGCCAGTATGGGCGTTTGAAATTCCAATAAAGCAAATATCATATCTTCCGTTTGCGCACTTGTTGCTGATTCGAGCTCTTCAACGAATTCATAGTCGTTATTTATGTCGAAATTTTCATTTGTTATATCATTCGCACTTCTAAATAAAGTAATATTTGCCATCACTGTATCGTGCCCAATTGTTATGTGCAATTTGCTTTTAGAACGTATTGCAAATTTGTAGAATCTTATTCGATGCACCCGTATGCATGCCGCATAAATATTGTGCAAATATCCTGGCTTTGTTAGTATGCCACGTTCCAACATTTTTGCATTGAATTGTGGCACACAAACTCCTACACGATCGCCCATTGCTGCCGATTGTACTGGTCGATGAAACATTTGTATTGACTTCACTTTGCGCTGCTCCTTAATTACAGGTATTTCCACTAGATCGTTAACGGCAATACTACCTTGTACTATAGTACCGGTACAAATAGTGCCTTGGCCCTTAATAGAAAAACAATGGTCCGTATACATAACCAAAGGTATCTCTTTGTTGCGATTAGGATACTCAATTTGCGAGATAATTCCTTTCAAAAGAGCCTACACGAACATTAAAGTATTAATTAATAAGAATTATAAATGTGTATTTGACTATTACCTCAATATTGATTTTCTGTACTGCCGATACATTGAAAATGCTGCTGGCAGGATCGAAGGTTGTCTGTTCCAACGTTTTTCGCAGTTTCGTATTTAATTTTTGCAACTGTACAACGCGTGTTGTTTGCTCCAATAAGTCTATTTTGTTTACAACCATGATCAATTTTCGCTGTAATAACTCGCCAATAACTATACATTCCGCCGTTTGTGTTTGTATGCCCTTCTGAGCATCAATGAGCAATAACATCAAGTCAATAATTTGTGCACCTTCAAAAAACCGATTTTTCAAAACAAGGCAATACTGAGTATAAGTTTTCCATACCTCCAATTATAGTGCGTATAAGACTTGCATGTCCAGGGCAGTCTACAAAAGTGAACTGCACTTTGTCGATATCCGGTGAAAGGCCTTTCCATCTTAACGGAGCTTCCACAACCACAGCGCTGAATCCCAAGTCTAATGTAATTCCACGTTCCTGTGACTGCGGATTTTTATCGAATGCCGCAGTACTTGCAATAGTACTTAAGGCGCGTGCCAAAGTAGTTTTACCCGAATCTACATGGCCTAGTAGGCCTATATTTATATTAATTATCATTTAATAATTTTTCTCAATTCCAATAAACATTTAAAGCGCGACAATTGTTTATGAACTGTAATATGTAATTTCATTGGCTTTCAAACTATCGTATGAAGTTACCACGGTTTATTGAGCATCAGTTAGTAATATAAATCTTATTGTTCCTCTTACAGTTTCTTGTATATATGGAGCGCAACTTTAAGTAAAACTTTTAAATGTTTTATTTTAACCAAAAGTCAGCAATTAACTGACCGCATATACCTATATAATAGCTATAATTCTTATTTGATTTTATATTCTACACATCACTGTTGACGTTTGTTAAACATCAGATGTTCGCAATTTGTCAGTGGAGATATGCGATTCGCCGCCTAGCGCCCTCAAACTTTTCTAAATTCTCGGAGTTAAGATTTATTGTATATTTTGATTAATTTCCTATCGCATAACTGAATACAATAAAACTAAACAAGTTTAACTAAAAGAAATCGAAATCTTTAATATAAGCTGTTGAAATGACGAGGTTTGTTCAACTATAAAGCATTGTCAAACATTAACCTAAAAACAGAATCGCTAACATTCCCTTTGCTTATTCATATGTATACAGGTCAAATATTGAATTGGGCGATGTAACGCCACATAATATTAAGCAACTGAAAAAGCTCAACTCTGTTGTATTTCCTGTCTCGTACAACGAAAAATTCTACATAGATGTTCTGGAAGCTGGTGAGTTGGCAAAACTAGTATACTATAATGATATCGTAGTTGGTGCAGTGTGCTGCCGCATTGATACTTCCGAGAATCAACGGCGTCTATATATCATGACTTTGGGCTGTTTGTCGTCATATCGACGTCTCGGTATCGGCACTGTGATGTTCCAACATATTCTCAACTATGCTAAAGTGGATGGAAACTTCGACAGTATCTTTCTGTAAGTACAATTTTCTATTTAACATTTAACATGCATGTTAAAAATTTAATTGCTATTTATCTTCTTGACAGGCACGTGCAAATTAATAACGAAGGCGCTATTGCGTTTTATAAAAAATTTGGTTTCGAAATTGTTGAGACCAAGGAACATTATTACAAACGAATTGAACCTGCGGACGCGTACGTTTTGCAAAAAACGTTGCGAAACACAAATAGTAATGCTAGTGGCACTATTAGTAATCACAATCACAATCCAGCTCATAGTAACGGACATTTGGACAAGAAGGAAAAGAAAGCATAATAAGCAGTTGAACAGAGTACAATTTGCATTCGCCAATACTGTTTGCTTCTAAGCAGTTTTAGTTATACCTAACAAAAATACAATAAAACAAAACACTTATTTAAACGAAGTACATTTGTTTATGTGTGTTCATATTGAGTTATAGCAGTTAACATGTGGTATTGTATAATGTGATTTGAAGTTTTCCGAAATTATTTTTATTGTGAAAATTGGAATGTTAGGCATATGTACGTGTATAGCTATGTATCTCAATGCGCATGTATGGGTATGCTTCCAATTTATTAACGGTTAATTTAGATCTTAAACAGTACATGTTTCATTTATAGTAGGAGTTAATAACACGCATATCTTTGATCTAATTGAATTATAATTAATTACATTCACACGAATAGGTCCAATTTACCACAGTTAAGTAACTAATCTCTTGTATACAAATTGTTAGTTTCTTACCGAAGGTTGATAAGTGTGCTGCAGACATAGTACAACTAAAAAATGAACATCCTCACAAAGCCAACAAAGAATTTACATTGTATATACCGTTGTTTCAAGTGGATCTATACGATCTTATACTATACTGGCAGTCTTTGCTTTCAACTACGAGGCGAATCATTTCAATTAACGAAAGCCAACATTATTTACACCAATTCCATAAGATTATCTTTAATGTTTGGATTTCTTGGTAGCATACTACTGAAGTACACGGATGATGAAAGCTCCAAAGCCATTTTCGATCGCTTATCACCAGTTTTGAAATTTATACTCGCACTGGAATGCTTCCTCAGTGCTATGACATATATCGCCGTCTGCACAACAATGCATACAAACAGATACAAACATTTAAAGTTGCTCCGACGGTTTAAAGAACTGGACGCACAAATTCAAATCGATTTTAACTATATTAAATGGAATTATCATAAAACAATGCGTAAATTTACAACATTTACCCTAATTGTCATGATTTACTATTATACTGTTTCGTTTATTTATCTTTTTAAATTGTCGAATTGCAATTGTGATTATGTAACAACATTTGTGTTTGCACTGTGCTATGCGAGCATTACTATTGCACCAAGTTCTACAGTCTTTCTGCATTTGGGCAAGATGGATCTGCTACGCATACGTTACCGTTTAATAAAACGGTTATTGAAGCAGCAATATGCCTTAGCAGTGGATTTGAAGCGACAGCATAAATTTGAAATGCGTATTTCGCGCCTAATTGATTATTGTAAAAGCTATATTCAACTGATTTTACAAATAAACGATGTACTTGGCGTCGTGTGTGGTATAAGTTTGTTTCATGATTTCGCTGTGCTTACAAACATGACATTTCTAATGTGTCAAAAAGCAACGGAAACAAATACAAGTGTCGAAGAATATTTATTCATATTCTTATTTATGTTGCCGCGAATTTATAAGGTAATCATATATGCGGTGTATGGATATGTAACGCAGAAGGAAGTAAGTTCAGCTATGATGAATCAAATATAATATATAAATTGCGAAAAGATACATATATGTTTGTATATACCGATGTTTACAGCAACGGAATTGTACTCATGAGGCCAGGAAGTGTGAAAAATATTTGACGCGCTCTAAAGCGACACGCAGTAAGCTGGAAGCATTCCTTCACTGGCAAATGCAGAACACATATTCGCTTTTGGTTGGAAAAGTGACGCGTTGTAATATTATTTTGCTTTATACGGTACGTTATTGATCAATTCTCATGTGGCAGTTTTTTGTTTCGATTTTATAAAACTGATTGTTGTTTTTATATATTTTTCATATTTCGTAGACCGTTAATAGCATTGCAAGCAGCGTTCTTATATTAATACAGCTACAATTCCAGCAAAACAGCATTACCAATCGTATGAAAAACCAACAAATGCTACAGGATGTAGAATTTATATAACGAAAATCATGAATTTATTAATTCAAAGTGTTTGGCATATAATAACAAGCAATATCTTGTACGAAAAACTTTCGTATATAAGTCATGTGGTACATATCCAAGCCATAAATGTGGCATTTATATATACGATATATACGAATATATACTCCTGTACTAAAATAAGAAATGCATTTTATCAGCATTATTATTATAAAAATGAGAATATTTGATATCAAAACGAAGTTTAAGGTTAAATATTTAGTGGTTTCAAAAGTTAA